CCAACCTGCCATGGACCCACTCTCTAGAAAAGCGGACATATCCCTATATAATTTATAGGAAGTCCTAGAACTCTTCAAGTCCACACATGGATCCCAAGTTAAGAAGCTGTGATCTTAAGATCTGAGAATCAAGAGAAGTTGATAAGGACCAGTAAGCAGTGGCTACTGGGCCTATCTACATTCTCAAGTTCACTGCCTCAATAGAGGGTATGATCTCCAACAAGGACTCACCAGGAAAACGACAAGACCCTTCTCCTTTCACGGTCCCTGTTCTGTTCATCTATACAACAGATGGTCTTCATGTATCTACATGGCAGGTACTGTTCTTGGCACTGGGGATGTGGGTCTGAGTAACATGGAGAGGGTCCTTGACCAACATTTCCCTTTCCCTCCTCCCTTTCTTCCCTGCTTCCCTTTCCATTTTCATCAGTCTCAGTCTGTGGTCTCCACCATTATTTGGCAGCCACATGGCCTCATGGAAAAAGGAGTCAGGAGATCTGGTGATGGTTCCTGATCCACCATTAACTAGCATAGTGACTAGAAGAGGTCCAGGTCAGAAGCTACCCATAGGACATATATTCTCTTAGGCAAGAGGACAACTCAGCTGTTCTCTTCAACATACACTCAATGCCTAATATACTCATGGCACTCTAAATACCTATTCAATGAATAAATGAATGAACCTTACTTCTTTCAATTCCAATTCAACTAAGAGTGATTTGGGCAAAAAATTTAAATTCTCTGTCTAAAATTCTGTGCTTCTACATTTATTTCTTAGTTATCTTAGTTTTCTCTTTGAACTAGAGATCTTCACACCCTCAAAATTGCTTATATTTTACAAATTTCTTTGTAAAATGCCAGAAAATATAGTCACCTTGATCCTCGGAAATATGCTGTAGAGTTTTTCTTCTTCCATGGCCACTGTGCTGCTGACCTAAAAATAGATTTCAGTTAGTTTCTATGTTTTTCTCTTAACCAAATGAGGATGTGTTTTAACCACTTCTGAAGATTAGTTCAGAGCTTTACATTTTTCATTAAGTCTGACCGAGGCTTTCAAAAGAAAGAGCCCTCAATGACATTGCATTTCCCTTTGTTGTTGCTTCATTCCTTTGGAAATGCTAGCCAATAATATCTACAATCTGTTCCTCCGTTAATAAGTTAACAACATTGAAAGAAAAGTTCCCAGCCCCTAAATGACATGTTTAGAGCTATTTAATGCATACAATCAGGATTTCTTCTCTGCTTTATGTAGAGTGGTGCTATTGATAAACTTAATAGGCAAAGAGACCTGCAGAAAATATCAGAAATTGAATTAAGGGCAATAAAACAAATCACTCCCTGACCTCGTGTTTAGGATGCATAGGCAGCATCTTTAGAAACGTGTCTGATATTGCAAAGCACCCTGTATTCTTGAAACTGTCCTAAGTGCTCCATGAAACAAAGTCCCTGAAACTCAGGTCTCAGTACATACTACCATGACCAGCTTTTCTTGCTGAAGCTGCTAGTTCACAGATGCAGCATTTTTAACTTCCTTTGTAGGGGCCCTGCACAGGGTTGCATGGTGTCTTCCTCTGAGAAATGAGGGGGACAGCTGAATTGGAGTTAATGAGGGATTTCTGGACTATTTACCATAATGGAGAGACTTAGGATATAAACTTTTTAGGTAGAAATACTTTTAAAGACATAAATGTCACATTACTCAGCTTCTCTCAGTTGAGAGCATTGCTCATTTTCATGGCCTATCTCATAGGTTTTCCTTGCTATACCATCTTTTCCTGATTCTACAATCCAAAGCCAAAACTATCTCTCATTGTGCCCCATACTCCCTCCCACCGAAACATAAATGCTATACCACTGGGTTATTTTTGTTTACTGGGTTTTTGTTTTTTACTGGAAATATGGTATATGCTCATTATATAAAATTCTTTTTTAAGTTTATTTTATTTATTTTGGGGGGGATGTGAGTAGAGGAGGAGCAGAGAGAGAGAGAGAGAGAGAGAGAGAGAATCCCAAGTGGGCTCTGCACTGTTAGCACAGACCCAACATGGGGTTTGATCCCACGAACCATGAGATCATGACCTGAGCTGAAACCAAGAGTTGGACCCTTACCGACTGAGCCACCCAGGAGCCCCTATATAAGATTCTAATGGAAAAGCATAAAATAAAAGTAGAAAAATCATCTGGAACCCTCCTGCCCGTAGATAACCATTTTTACCAATTTAACGTCTCAGTGAAGAATTTCCTTCCAATCAAGTCTCCATATCAGTAGTTCTCAATTGGTGACTTTGCCCCGTTCCCCCAGAAGACATTTGGCCATGACTATAGACATTTTTGATTGTCACTACTGGGGGACTGCTACTGGCATTTAGTGTCATTAAGACACTAATGGGGGGGCGCCTGGGTGGCGCAGTCGGTTAAGCGTCCGACTTCAGCCAGGTCACGATCTCGCGGTCCGTGAGTTCGAGCCCCACGTCAGGCTCTGGGCTGATGGCTCAGAGCCTGGAGCCTGTTTCCGATTCTGTGTCTCCCTCTCTCTCTGCCCCTCCCCCGTTCATGCTCTGTCTCTCTCTGTCCCAAAAATAAATAAACGTTTAAAAAAAAAAAAAAAGACACTAATGGGGTGCTGCTAACTATCCTGCAAGGACAGGATAGTTATGCACAGGACAGACCCCTGCAACAAAGAATGATCCTATCCAAAATGTCAATACTACCAATATTGAGAAACCTTGCTCTATATAACGCAGATATTTTATATATATTATATATTATATATTATATATATACCCATTCTCACAATGCTTGAGGTGGTTTTGTTATCCCTAATTTACAGCTGAGGCTCTTGAGAGGGTAAGCAGTTTGCCCAGAGTCACACAGCTGATAAGAGCCAGAGTATAAACCCAGAGTCCCTGTTTTTAAGCCCTATGCTACCTTTACTTTGCATTCAGGCACAACATTCCATTTTATAGCCATGCCATAATTCACTTCATTACTTATTCATGGGCTTTTAGGTAGTGTCTAACTCTTTGCTTTAAGAAACAATACTGTAGTGAATATCTTTGTGTACCTACCTTTACATACTTGTCCAATTAACTCTTTGGGATAAATTCTAGAAGTGAAATGGCTGGGTCAAAGATATATACATTTTATATTTTGATATACATTGCCAAACCACCCAATAAAAAAGTATCAATTTATACTGAAATTCTGAGTATAAATTTCCTTGGTCCCTGGGAAAACTGTATTTAATATACACAGACTTGTACCATCTCTGTTTTCTCTCTCCCTCATTCTTTCTACCCACCTACTTACCCTCAAAAGACCTATGTTAGGACTTTTTTCCCCAGGCAAGTGCTAAAAGTGGCCAACACAGCCTGGGGCTGCCCCAGACCTCTTTTATAACCATCCTCCCTACCTCCTATGACAGTAGAGACATAAATCTTTAAAATACAGAAACAGTGAATTCTTCTACGGAGTGAAAAGTAAGTCAATAGGGACAAACTCCCAAAAGATTAGAAAAAATAGCAGGCAGACATCAATGCAGAAAAACAAGGAGATTTTTAAAGTTTCAAAGTAAGAAGTGAAATCACATAGCTAGAGCTTTTGAATGGAGGGCTCTAAAATATAAAATTATAATTCTGGGGGCACCTGGGCGGCTCAGTCGGTTAAGCGTCTGACTTTGGCTCAGGTCATGATCTCACGGTTTGTGAGTTCGAGCCCCACATCGGGCTGTGTGCTGACAGCTCAAAGCCTGAAGCCTGCTTCGGATTCTGTGTCTCCTTCTCTCTCTGCCCCTCCCCCACTTGTGCTCTGTCTCTCTCTATCAAAAATAAATAGATGTATAAAAAAATCTCTTTTTAAATTACAATTCTGCAATCATGAATAAATTCACCTGAAGAATAAGAGGGGACGATATCAAAAGAAAAATATGTTCTTGTAAGTTTAGATTTTAAAACATAATCAATCTCCCTAAAATAAGCTTAGTGGTTTTCAAGGGAGGAAAAAGAGTACGTAGTGGAGGAACTGGTAACACCTTGACTAGGTGATCAAAATTAATATCTCTAAAGAGTTAAGGATGGGGGCACCTGGGTGGCTCAGTTGGTTAAGCATCCACCTCTGGATTTCAGCTCAGGTCATGATCTCACAGTTTGTGAGACTGAGCTCTGTCAGCACAGAGCCCAGATTCTCTTTCCCTTTCTCTCAGCCCCTCCCCCACACACTCTGCCTCTCTCAAAATAAATAAGTAAACATTAAAAAAAAAAAAAAAAGAAGAGTTATAGATGGATGCAAAAATCACTTAGGTAAGTATTAAGGCCAGCAATGCATAAGCTGAATCTAATCATGAGGAATAGACAAAACTAAACTGAAGAACATTCTATAATGTATGTGGCCTGTATTCTTTGAAATGTCAGTGTTATGAAAGAGAAAGACAGACTGAAGAGCTGTTCCAGATTACAGGAGACTAAACAGAAATAATAACTAAATGCAACACATGAGCCTGGATTGTATCCTGTACTGGAGGTAGAATGTGCCATACAGAACATTATTGGGATAATTAAGTGTTGTACCAATATTGTTTCCTGAATTTGATAATTGCAGCATGGTTATAAAGGAGAATATCCTTGCTATTGGGAAATACACACTAAAGTATTAGGATGTACAGGGTCATAAGGTATGCAACTTACTCTCAAATAGTCCAGAAAACAAGAAATTATACATATATTACACATAGCCTAAAAGTCTATCATAGGAAATAATGAGGTAAATTATTATCCATGCAACGGAATACCATGTAACTAATAAAAATAATGAGGTAGTTTCATATGTACTGACATGGAAAGATCCCTAAAACACACTAAGAAGTGGGGGGAAAAGATGCCGATGTTAGACATACTTCTTTATTTTTATGAGCATATATAGGTTTCATAATCAGAAAAAAAGGTTGTTTTTATTTTTTATTTTATTTTTTTTTCAACGTTTATT